TAACGAAAATCCCTATTAGACCAATAACACTCGGAAAAATAGGAACAGTTTTAAAACACACCTACAACGTAATTATTTGAGATAAAAATGATACTCAATTATGCAATCAGCAACTTCCGTAATAATTTCGTAACATAAATAAGTTGAGTTTTTTTTTTGTTTCTTCATCTGGTGTGAGATAAAATAATATGGTCCTCATACCTTTCCAAAAGAATAATTTTAGCGAAAGATAATTTAAGCTCGGAAAGTTGTAAGATAGTCGGTATTAAGAGAAAGACAAATAACATAAAATAAAGAACTCATATACAATCGATTTTAATCAAAATCGCTGTAACATGACATTTTCACAAGCATAAATAAATTACGTGAAAGTATGTATATATATATAGCAAAATAATGGGCAAAATCCGCAAAAAGGAGGAAAGTGGATTCGAGCAGAAAATAGGATAGGTAACCCGAGCGATACGTATTTCTGCTGGTTGGCTTCATCAGGCCCGAAATGAATGCACATATGAAACTACAAAAGTAGATACAGATGACCACACATCCGGATACAGGTGGAACCTGAGGAAACGAAGTTGGAGGGAAAAAAAACGACACACGAAGTCCACAACAAGAGCCAACCTACACATTGTAGTATAAAATGGCTATACGACCTCGAATTTTCAAGGAGACGTCTAACCACCACCACGCGGCCGGTTATAGCCACTTGCTGTGGTACTTCAAGCCCAAAGGATCTACAAAGAGAATATGATCATGCGGAGAAATGTATATAACAACATTAGACGTCTCCTTGAAAATTCGAGGTCGCATAGCCATTTTATACTACAATGTGTAGGTTGGCTCTTGTTGTGGACTTCGTGTGTCGTTTTTTTTCCCTCCAATCTTCGTTTCCTCAGGTTACACCCGTATCCGGATGTGTGGTCATGTGTATCTACTTTTGTAGTTTCATATGTGCATTCATTTCGGGCCTGATGAAGCTAACCAGCAGAAATACGTATCGTTCGGGTTACCTATCCTATTTTCTGCTCGAATCCACTTTCCTCCTTTTTGCGGATTTTACAACATTATTTTCCTACTTGTTGTTATATACATTTCTCCGCATGATCATATATATATATATATATACAATGTGTTTGGTCACGACATACCGATATTTAAGGGCGGTATTTTTCAGCTATTTTTAACGACAGATCCACCGACCCCCCTACAATGTCCTACCTCACCACACTTGAAATGGCAGCCATTTTTATTTTTACGTTACGATTACGCTAGTGCATGTAGAAAAATTGTAATAATTGAGTACATAAGTGTTACAGAATGATCAATTTGGTGTAATTTGAACAATAACGTGTTGTCTTAGCGATTATTGAAAAACTTGTATTGATAACCGTGAAACATACTTAAAAACAGACAAAAGCAGAAAAAAAGAGCAACAATGTGCATAATTGATTTGACATTTTTATGTATAAAAAGTTTGAAAGCAATTTGCATTTTATTACACCCATTTTGACCAATGTTATATAGCATCTATTACTTAACGTAGAAGACTTAGGATAACAAATTTGGCGTCATTCTGTAGATAACATAGTTAGCTGTAGAATTAGCACAAAAAAGTACAACTTCACATACTAGTTTTTAAATGGTGTGCGGAAATGCACAAAATAATCAATTTTCTTCCATATTTTTTTCTGTTTTTGTCTGTTTTTAAGTATGTTTGATGGTTAGTATCAATACAAGTTTTTCAACAATCGCCAGGGCAACATGTTATCGCTCAAATGACACCAAACGTATCATTCTGTGACACCTATGTACTCGGTTATAACAATTTTCTTACATGCACTAGCATAATCGTAACGTAAAAATAAAAATGGCTGCCATTTCAAGAGGGATGAGGTAGTACATTGTAGTACATAAAAATAGCTAAAGAATACGCCCCTTAAATATCGGTATGTCGTGACCAAACACATTGTATATATATCCATAAAATTCTCACCAAAGGAACACATCTTAGAAAAAACACAGATGCACCACTTGGCCGTAAAAGCAACACATGTTGAGCAGATATTTGATGCATAAAAATACTCATTAGTAGAGTAGTAAGCCTTCTGCTTTAGCAGAGTCTTGGCCCTCTCCTTAAATGATTCCAATGGCAAGATTTTCAGAGTGTCTGGCAATCTATTGAACACTGGGTTTGAACTTTTTTTTGTAGATGACATCTGTGTGAGAGAATTTAGAGTTTTTGGTTGAATATCAATTGTGGTCATTTAACTTTGTAAAATCTGCCAAATTTGTTTTCGCGTAGATCAGCAGCTCTAGGAATAGTCAATTAACCTTACCATTCTTTTTTGCTTGGTAAATACCATTATCAATATATAGTATCTTTAATCATTTGAACTGTATTTTCCTGAAGAATAAGAAATAATTCCGATTTTACATTTTAGATTGAGGTTAAGCAACAAGGGAATGTAAAAGCACTACTAAATTGTGCAAGCAAGAACTCCATTATAATAATATACATTACATGATTATAATGACTGTACTATAATAGACGCCAGTTTATCTATGTTGTAAACACATACACCTTATGAATTTGCTTCAACTAGGTGTTTAAACAGCTTTGTGAGAGTTACGGTTATTGGATCACAATTTGTCAAGGATAAGTGTTATTTCGCCTTTTCTGTTTTAACATAATCATAAAAATCATCATAAATATGTGAAGGTGTTCACTATTCACATATTTTTTTTCAGCTATACACCGAAGTATGCTAAAACAAATACTTAAATAAGCACGAATATTTCAAATGTTATTTTAAAACTTATACTCGTAATAAAAAGTACAAACATTGATCTATTTACGTGCTTTTTCATTAAATTATAGAATTTTTTGATATACTCGGGGCTCATATGACTAATAAAAGGCTAAGTAGCTAAGCAAAAAGCTATAATGGCATTATTCAGTAATTTTAGCAAATGTGATTCCACTGATCAGTGATTAAGTTGCATACAGAACCAACTGCAAGGCATTACGAAAATGTTCTCGTTTCAGAAAAATAAAGTCTCAAAGCTCAGAATATATCTTGGGGACGGCATTTTTCTTTTTTTATAGAGTTGGGTTACTTTCTGCAAGGAACTACCGTGCAGGGAAACTTGACCTATAAGCATTTTCTGCCCAAAGAGTAGCCCCACTCACTCTTTGGCTATATAAGCCCACCATGGTAATGCTTGCAGCATTTCATCATGATGAGTAGCGTCAGCAAAAGTATTCATACCAAAGATATTTGGGTCATGTCATAATACGAATCTATCTAGACGCCTGGCAGTTTCATAGTCTGTTACTATTGTCATACAGTTTTCACCCAGCCCAGGATGCTTGATTTGTTTCAGTTTTAGGCAGAAGATTGGTAGGCGGAGGTACCACCCTTCGGATCTCTAACCCGGGACCACAATGTGTGCATGTTGCATGCACACGTGTTCTCTCACTAGAGGCCGTGTGGCGCATCCCCTTTCCCCTGTAGCCCCACAGTACCCATGGATGTTTAGGCCTTCGTAGTGGTTTAGGTAAAAAAAACTTCCTCCATATCGGCTGCTTGCATAAGGCGATACATCACGATTCACGAAACAGCGTTATCATCTTCCTCAGAATGATCCCTGATAAAAAGCAAAGCATGTGTCATTGCGAGTACTAGCTATAAAAGTAGTTTGGGTTCTACAAACATGACTGGTTATGTCAATATTATTACTATATCAGTGCCGTGCACTTATATGGGTTATGTCTAACATATTCCCGAAAAATAGAAGCATATTACATTATCGAGATGATCCAAGATTCTCTATATTAATCAGAATTGTATTGCTATCAAGGTTTGTTATCTTGTATAGTTCTTCTCACCGTTTTCAGCCGTTAGGTCACAATGTCATACGAAATAGGTAAACAGGACCTCTATTCTTGAGTTTGTGGGAGTAGAAATTGTGAGCGAAAGTGACAAGAAGTGGGTGTGGCCAAGAAATGCAGTTATTCTTGAAATCAGTTCTACCGAACAGTGATAGAGGGAGTCGCGATTTCTCTTGGTACCGACCAAGGGAAACTGGAAAAATTAGTAGAAAATAGCGCTATATAACCTAAAAAATGACGTGTTTGACATTGTTATTGTCGTTCCTGCTAAACATATGACAAAAAATGGTTAATTTCAATCAATTCATGTACTGGAACGGTATTATTAACGGGGTTGTAGAGGAGGCAGATGAGGAATGGGCCATTGGGAGAGATATTCTAGGGCATCGAGATCCTTTCATAATATCGGATCGAAAATTTGTACAGATGTTCAGATTGACCAAAGATTTGGTGTATGAATTGCTTCGATCAAAGCAAAGGCAAGAGTCCTAGATATTAAGTTTTAGTTATTCTAAAACAGTATCCTTTATCTATGATTGAGTTTGCCCTGGTGCATTTGGGGCTGCTCTCGAAGAAACTCAATCATTTTGTCCTTTTGTTCATTTATAATGTACTTTTTCAAAGTTTTCGGCTCCATAGATAAGGAGGAAATATTTCCAAAATCTTTGGTTAGTTTTTGACTGTCAAAATTATCTCCATTTTGATTGGTTTAACAAGTTTACTCAAACCTGGCAACCCTGTGTCTTGATTTCCTTTCGCCTTTCTATTGAGACCTTTCAAGAATACAGTATTTTCGAATCGATAGAAAACCGGGGGAGTAGAAAAAGAGGGAGTGTGATTTTCTATTGAAGTCAAGAATAGGATCACTGATTGGGAAGTTAATCGAGTGATAAAGGACCGTTCTTTTAATTCTCTTTCCCAAAACACTACAAATAATTTAACACAGACTGACAACGTTGTAGTTGAATCGGCGAATGAAAGAACAATACAATTGCCAAATATGGCAATTTTTCCCTGAGGTAGCCAAATTTTGTGAAACTCAAATACTCATCATACGAGGGATGTCTTTTAAGTTTTGCATATGGAAATTAAACAACACGGTAGGTTGTTTTAAATGACTTTATTGTTTTTCGAAGTATTCTCCACGAAGGTTAATACACATCTGCATGCGCTCGAACCAATTTTTGAAGCATTTATTCCACTCGTTTTCTGGCAGATCCAAAACGGCATTATTGAATGCTCAACTGCTTCTTCTGGTGACTGGAACCTTTGACCACGCAGTCTGTTTTTAATTTTCGGGAAAGTAAAGAAATCGATAGAACTTAGATCGGGACTATATGGAGGATGGTCCAGTAATTTCACGTTTTCTTCCGTTAAATGCTGCCTTATTTTTCAGGCTGTGTGCGAGCTTGCATTGTCTTGGTGGAGGATGATTCTTCTTCGGGATTGATTTTTCAAACTCGGTGATGACTTTTGGCAAACAAGTGGTGGTATACCAATCCGCAGTAACAGTTCTTTGCTCATTAAGAGGAATTGTTGCAATATGACCCGCTTTTGACACAAATGTCGAGACCATCTTTTTCGAAACACTTCGAGAATGGATGACTTTTGTTGGCTTTTCTTCACCTTGGAACACCCAAACAGCCGACTGTCGTTTATCTTCTGGTTCATAACAGTAAATCCACGATTCATCACCACTAACAATGCTGTACACATTTTTTGAGTTTCTGGAATTGAAGCGGTCAAGCGATTTTTGACACCAATTAACCCTGGCTGCTTTCTGCTCTTCAGTCAACAGGTGGGGTATCCAACGAGAAACTAATTTTCTTACTACTAATTCTTCATGTAAATTTTTTTGAATTGAGGTCTTCGAGATCTTCAAGGACGCCTCAATCTTGCGATATGTTACATGTCTATCTTCAATGATGAGTTTGCGCACAACATCGACGTTTTCCTGGGTGACTGCCGTTTTTGGTGCACCCAAACTGGGATCGTCGTTAAGACTCACCCATCCACGTTTGAATTCTCCATACTAACGGAAAATTGTCGACTGATGTGGTGCTTCGTTGTCGAAACCAGACAGTAACTCAGCAAGGGATTCTTGTTGCGATAATTGTCTCTGAAAGTTGTAATAAATTATGGCGCGAAAATGTTCTCGGTTGAGTTCCATTTTTATAATGACTTGGTGACACTTAAAAATTCACTGTAGTGAGAACACTGCACGTATTGTTATAAAACTTTTGAATTCAAGTACACTAAAGAGTGAGGTTAAGATTCAGTACTGACGTTCGATCCGCGCGGTCTACTAAATGATGGTACAACGACGAGCCTTGTACGTTCGGTGCTTAATTTACCGCTGAGTGAAAGAACAGTACACGTGCGTCGCATGTACCGTTTTTCCACTCAACCGCCATATTGTGCCATATACCCTGTCAAGCGAAATTATCGAACTTCGCTTATTTTCCGACGGGTGTCCTATCCAAAATCTCAACCAGACAATGGTACGTTCCTAATGACACTCACATCGGCAAGAAAATAGTTTATTACCTTCCAGTACGTGGCCATTCCTTTTTGCCCTGTGATAGAGATTTCGGAGCCGTTAAAATGGCGATAAGAGCTGATCGCATATATATTCTTGAAGAATATGAGCAAATGATACCAAGTTACGGAAGGTGTTAACATTTCCACTTAGTACGCTTAGATATAACGATATCATTGATTTCAAAAACTGGTGGCCGCAATTTTATAAGAAAACGTCCAAGTCAGCTGATGGTCAAAAAGTTAATCCATTTCGCAGTACAGCCAGTTTACATACACTAGTGAAACTCCAGGATATGGGGCGACAAGTAACGTCACAAGAGGTTTTCTGTCATACACTTTCAAGTTAATCAAACCTAGTGCTAAATCCATATTGACGTACGAAAAAGCATACTCAGCAGCTGCTCCCATTAACTCAAAGAAAATAGCTGACTTAAACACACTTTTACGTTACTTTTCTGATGAATCCGTTGAGTTTTACTACCATATTGTTTCTTGGAAAGTAAAAACTGAAAATTCTGAATGAAAATGGGTAGATAGTTTGTTAAACATCAATCAATAAAGTAAGAAAATTATTTTCAACATTTTTTCTTCACTTGAGTGAAAGAACAGTATAGCTCCAAGTCATCCTTCTTCAAATATCTTTTTTTGCAGTAATTCCTTTTTTCAATTTATGAAGGTATTATCGGTCACAACAACAACTCCACAATACATGATTAGGCTGAGTAACCCATGGTTTTCATTCAAAACGGTTTTTTCGTTTTTCTCAAAATGGTCATTTTGTTCTTGCATATCTTCAGGCATTGCCATGTTTTATATCGAAGATCAACAAAAAGTAAACACGCACGACCATGTCAAGCAAGTTGTCATGCTAACAGTGACAAAAAAAAATTTGGAAGGCTCATACGTTGACGAGAAAACTTTGAAGGCGGCGAGACAAATCTAAAAAACGTATATCTGTGAACTTAAACAAGTGTTCACGCATGGAGGCTGATTGCTTATGTATGTGTGAGGGAGATGTATGCATTAAAGTAATTCCTGTAGTTTTACTTTGTCCCGCAAAATACCCTGAGAGGGCCTATAGGTATTGTTGATTATTTGTAACGTTTCCTCATTGTATACTAAGTGACATATAAATCCGAACACCCAGTTTAAATGGTTTTATTTTAATAAAATTTTGTATAAGTACTTAATGAAGCATAATAAGTAAATGATAAAAATTTCAAAATGATTGCACTGTTTTAAAGCCCTTTGACCTTTAATAATGTGTGGGTGCACCCTGATGTGCTACGCATTCTCCAACGCGCCTAGGCATGCTTCTGATCAGGTGGTCAATGTCCTCCTGTGGTATCTCATTCCAGGCAACCACCAACTCCTCTCGAAGTGCTTCTAGAGCCTGAGGAGGACTTTGCAAATTGAGCAATCTCCTACCCATCATATCCCACACGTGCTCAATTGGGGATAAGTCGGGAGATCTTGGTGGCCATGGTAACAATGTGATATCATTATGTTGAAAGAAGTCTATTGTGACTCTTGCAACATGTGGTCGGGCATTATCTTGTTGGAAAGTTGGATCTGCCAGGGTGTCAAGATAGGGTAAAAGATGGGGTTCTAGAACTTCGTGGATATAACGCTGCGCGTTCATGTTACCTCTGATGAAGATTAAAGGTGACCTGGAACCATAAGCTATAGCACCCCAAACCACAACTCCAACAGTGTGATGAACATGTCTTTCAACAAAAAACTGTGGATTCCTCCTTTCACCACGTCGCCTCCAAACCCTGGCGTGACCAACGGTCACTCTGGGATCAGGAATGGAACAGTATTGTCTTTAGTGACGAGTCTCGATTTTGTTTAGGCATGCACGATGGTCGTGCCAGGGTTAGAAGGCGACGTGGTGAAAGGAGGAATCCACAGTTTTTTGTTGAAAGACATGTTCATCACACTGTTGGAGTTATGGTTTGGGGTGCTATAGCTTATGGTTCCAGGTCACCCTTAATCTTCATCAGAGGTAACATGAACGCGCAGCGTTATATCCACGAAGTTCTAGAACCCCATCTTTTACCCTGTCTTGACATCCTGGCAGATCCAACTTTCCAACAAGATAATGCCCGACCACATGTTGCAAGAGTCACAATAGACTTCTTTCAACATAATGATGTCACATTGTTACCATGGCCACCAAGATCTCCCGACTTATCCCCAATTGAGCACGTGTGGGGATATGATGGGTAGGAGATTGCTCAATTTGCAACGTCCTCCTCAGACTCTAGAAGCACTTCGAGAGGAGTTGGTGGTTGCCTGGAATGAGATACCACAGGAGGACATTGACCACCTGATCAGAAGCATGCAAGGCGCGTTGGAGAATGCGTAGCACATCAGGGTGCATCCACACATTATTAAAGGTCAAAGGGCTTTAAAGCAGTGCAATCATTTTGAAATTTTTATCATTTACTTATTATGCTTCATTAAGTACTTATACAAAATTTTATTAAAATAAAACCATTTAAACTGGGTGTTCGGATTTATATGTCACTTAGTATAGTTTATTGGTATGGATAATTCAACAGCATATACATACTTGCATGAAGAATAATTGATATAACCTTACTGTATTAAACGAGAGTTATTTTAAGATTGCTGTATATAAGTAAGACTTTGTTTTAATATCAAAGCTTGAGAGCTGTTCGATCGACGCGCTCTATTAGTATTATTTAAATCTCACTAGACATGCTATGAAATTTTAAGAGACCTCTTAGAACATTTTCGAGAACCGCACTTGAACAAAAATACCAATCAACACAAGACATTCAAAAATCATTGCATCACACTACCTCCAAACTAACACATTATGCTGCAAAGAAAAACGGAGCAATGAAAAAGATTAATATTTTTATAAAGATGTCAAAATCGATCTTCATTGACAGAATAGATGTAACATATGCAACACTTAAAATTTTGTTGATTTTTTCCGAATTGTGAAATTGCGTGACGAAGTATTTTAGAATGATTTCAAAGTATTTTAACATTATCTACACGTATCGATTCAAAATAAAAAAAACCATAATGGATTTATGCACGCAGTTGATTACATGTCTGTAACATATTTTTTTTAGTGGTCATGCTCCTACAACATTTTCATCAATATAATTAAAGTACAATTATATTTATTTGTGTGTCGATATAACATGAAATCATAAGGTCAACGATGAACATGCTTAATGACAGTTCATCAACAAAATTTACATATGATATACAGGAAACACATTTTTAGTAGTACATAAATAGGAAATTATTGAAATGGAGTTAAGGAAATTGTTCCATTTCAAATTGACTGAGTACCGAATTAAGCCGATCAATCGTATCGTATCAAATGGAATGGATTGCTGAATGAAAGATAATAAGCAGCGTGGCGTTATTTTGAATCAAATATGGTGGACGCCACTGGATGGGGATTTTTAATTTCTACGATTAACTCTATGATATGGGTATCAAATGAAAGAAGCGAAGTGAGCAAATAATGTCATTTTAAATTCCACACTCCATCCATCCATCGAAATTTTAGCATACAAATGAATTAAGAAATTTTATGTAGCCCTACTGATAAAATATTTGACAATTTTATATAAAAATAAAAAATGAAAAAATACGTTTTTAAAACAATCTTTAAACGAACTAAAAGTAAACAAATATTTCTTGCCGATTGGATATACTGAAGTGCACCTTCATCCCAAGGTTTCAAATAATAGCGTGTTACGTTTTGACAGCAGGATGGAGCTTTTAATTTAAAACTTGAGCTGGGAGAGCTTATATTTATAAATATTTTCTGCCGGAAAAATATTTTTAAATCTTTAGTTTATTTTGTTAACAACTAAATAAAATCTCTTTTTAATGTATTTTATAATTATATTTATTGAAGTGATGAGACGTTACTTTCTGTCATATCTTCCTTGTGAAAAATAGCCTTAGCAACATATGCACCAAAGTCTTGATATAGCCGAGTTGTTAGGTTTCGAAAATATCCGAGATTCTGCCAGCGAAAGATTAGACGAAAAGATACGTCGCGTTCCAGTAACTAACCCGTAACTAATCAAATATGGAAAAGCTGTTAGTTGATAAGAAACGTCTACGAAAAGGATTATCAAGTTTCCACTAAGCTGGATGCTTCCATTCTACACGACGTACTTAGTATTTTTTTTTCGAATGAATGGTGAGTAAATCCATTAAAAGCTTTCTTCACGTATTCGCTGCTATTTCACTACACACTAGCCATATTATTTTAAGAAAGGTTGTTTCTAAGAAGGAAAGATTCAAATCGAAAGCTACCTATTTTCACAAAAAATGGAGGGCACGCTTTTTGGCTGTGTTTTTATACTTAAGAAGCTAAGGAGGTAGGCTAAGTGTCGAGATACTGTGACTGCTAAAAAGGTGCGAGAGACGTTTTATTGATCGGACCTTTAAACTGCCTAAGGCTACAAGAACTGTGGATAATATTTTCCATCATCCCGATATTATACACGAAAAATGGCATCAAGTAGATTCACTCTATACTTCCTACGCCTTCATTGGAGGTTTCGAAGAAAAGGGATGATTCAAATCGTGTCAAAAGGTGAAATCTCACATAGGTACAATGAATCTTCGACCTCCTATATAAAGCAAATCTATCATATTCCTGTTTCAATGGCATATTTAAGGAAAATATGTGCGACTTATTACTTTCACTGATACGCAACAGTTTACATAGCTTACTACTATTCACAGCATATCATATAGCTTCCAACCCACAATTTTTATCATATCCAAACAATGTTTGAAAATGAGTAGGAATCTCTGGAACGTTGTAACACTATGTTCCAGCGATTTTATTTTTGTCGCCTCTGAATTAATTCAGAAAACTATCGTAGGTGGTATATTTAGGGATCATAAAATTGAGAAAAATATATGTGTAGATATAAAAACTGTTGATTCACCCTTTACAAAACCATCGCAGAACGCTAAAGTGGAACTTACTCCTAATATCCAAATGTTGTTAAAATATATGAATATTTTTCCTGTATCGGTGTATTAGTGATGACATCACCGCAGACCAGTTCGTGTTTGTTACCCAGTTCACAGTCGATATCAGAGTGATTTCGAATTATGATCATTATACATCAGACTTTTACCGTTTGATTTCCCTGTTGGACTAAGATGCTTCTCAATGATAGAACGTCTTTGATTAAACCCTACAAAAAATTTTTCGAAGATGGTCAGGAGCTTCTAAAACATCAAAAAGCAAAGTTTAAGCGATTTTTTTTCGTGTTTTTGTCCACCACTAGATCGATTTCCAAAAACTAGAAATCTCTTTCATCCTTAACATAGTGGTAACTTAAACGATATTACTAATATCAAAATTACAATTATATTTATTCTTATAATTTTTATACCGCGCAGAAGGCGGTTCTGTTAAGCTGCTTATGTTGCAAATGGAAAAAATTTAATGTGGAGTAGAATTCAAGTTAAGCAATAACGCTTAACGATGTTATAAAAACAGGTCTAAACTAGTAATACTTCAATTGAGCCTTACATGTATTTCTAGCGTGCACGTCAGATCGATGTTATATATTTATAATTAACAATATCTCTCTGATCATAGCATAGTGTCTGACCTATCGTACTGGTTAGATCTTGACGTAGAGAATTCGACAGAATGTGAAGCGGAAGTTTGGTGGGTTTATCTGGCAGGCCTAAAGCGTAGCAGCATCTTAGAGTGGCAAAGTCCGTGACTTAGATACACAAAATGCAGAATAGTTAATCTCTTCTGTTGATTACGTCAACTACATCTCTTTATATTTCCGGATTATTACATTTTTACACGTAAAATTCCAGGTAATCGAAGAAATACTTTAGTGGTCTCTTCCATGTACCAACAGGCGTTTGCAACTGTTCAGTTTTCCACAATGAACTGCAGGTAGACAAATACACTTTATATAAATAGAATACTGTGAAAATGCAAGCGAAATTATAAAAACTAAGACAGCTTCATTTGAGGTTGGATCGTTTCCAGTAAAATGACGGAAAAGTACGTACTTGATGCACTAGATATGAATCAAAATAAACAAGAACGTGACATGATTGAGGTCGAGCGTAGAGTTAATTCAACAGTTTCTTTGATGCCTATTCACATTTCATTTCGGAGCCTTCATTATTCTCTAATTTTCAGACACTTACATATTCATCAAAATCAGATGAAATGATGTTTTGACGAATCACAATATGTACATCAAAATTGAGTACTCAAATAGAAGCATCTTGCTTCAAATTATTCTAGAGTTTTAATAGCAGCAAAACGTTTACACTATAACGTATTGATATTAAATTCTAATAATCAAATGAGGACAGCGTGGAATGTAATAAAACAGAATAAAAATGCATCTAGACATGAGATAATTAAATTAAAAGTGAAAGATGAATTAATAACAGAACCAAAAGAGGTGGCCGATAAATTTATGCAACATTTTAATAGTATTACCTATACGTAGATAACAAAGTGGGAAATAGTAGTATTAATATAGATAGGAACATTCATTCATTTTATCTCAAACCTGCTGTAGCAAATGACATATCAGCTATTATAAAAAATCTCAAAGGTTCTAATTTTTTTGGCGCAGACAGAATTAGCACTAATATGTTAAAATTTTCATTTGACATCGTTTGCCATCCCTTGCTTTTTTAATTAACTGCTCCATCGAAGAAAGAATTTTTCCCGACAAGCTTAAGGTTGCAAACATTAGGCCGCTGTTTAAATCTGGAGATAGGTTTGATATGTGTAACTTCAGACCTATCTCACTTCTTAGTCCCTTCTCGAAGGTGTTTGAGAAATATGTCTCTCTGCAACTCATCAATTTCTTTGACAGATTCAAATTATTTAATAGTAATCAGTTTGGATTTAGAAAAGGCATGTCAACCAAAAATGCCCTACTTCGTTTCCTAGATGATTTATATCTCAAGATGGATCAAGGAGAAAAATGTATAGGTATATTTCTTGATTTAAGTAAAGCGTTTGACTTGGTTGACCATGCTATTCTGCTAGATAAAATGGATAGATAATATGGAATCAGAGGGAAGCCATTTGACTGGTTCCATATCTATCTGTCCGATAGAAAGCATCATGTCGAGGTACAAAATGCACAGTCCAGCCAACATTTCTACCGTACTGGTGTTCCACAGGGTTCCATACTTGGTCCTCCCTCATACATAATGTATGTCAATGACTTCCCATCCGATTGCTCGGTAATGTATGCTAATGACACTTCTTTACTTGTTAATGTTCAAAACCTAGAATCTGTTGTAGGACTTGCCAATTCAAGCTTGAATGGTGCAGGTAAGTGGTTCAGCAATAATGGGCTCGTCTTAAATAATCAGAAATCTGTTTTCCTTAGATTTAACCTTTCCACCTCACCGATGGATCACACTTTACTAATAAAATCGTTTGGCAAATCAATAAAACAAGTGGATGCGACTAAATTTTTAGGGATATATATATCTCAAAATTGTAGATGGGATACGCATATCGAGAAAAGTAGCCAAAAGATCGCCCCACTCTGTTACTGTCTGTACCAGTAAAGTTTTGTTGTGGAGAAGTGGATATTACTGATATTTTTCTATGCACATATCCATTCAGTCCTAATTTATGGAATAGAAGCATGGGGAGCATCGTCCCAGCTGCAAAGACTTTTTGTGTTGCAAAAAAGGCTGTTCGAGTAATAGCTAAAATTGGAAGGCTCAGTAGCTGCAAGGATTCATTTAGAACATTAAAGATTTTGACCTTACCATCTGTATATATACTCAATATACTTATCCTTGCTAAAACACAATTGAGCAAGTTCAATTCTGTAAGCACTGGTGCTTACTTTACAAGAAACAGTCAAATATTGGAGGTGCCATCGCATAGATTGGCGAGAACGGAGGACAGCCCTAGATATATGGCTATTAAGTTTTTCAACTCCCCAACAATTTGAAATCACAACCACTGAACACTTTTAAAAGAACAGTTAAACAGTTTTTACTGGAGAAAGCTTTTTACTCTATTGAGGAATTTTTAATGTGTGAATGTCTTGTTTGATTTTGATCATTGTTGTTTGAATGTCAATGGTTTTTCCTGTATTTAACTTTTTTATAGATACTTTGAAGTTGAGTCATTAATTTTCAGATAATGATTGTAGAAGGAAGATAAACCAAAACATGTGTGTAAAAATAAAAAAAAAATAAAAAAAATGTTACCTTGTTTTATAAAGTATCCTCCCGACAAGTATTTCAGTGCGGACCTGTATTTGATCGTGCGGTCTTGGAGCACCGGCATGCCCTCCCCTGTGAGGTCTTAAGTCACCTGATTCACGAGCCCTTTGTACTACATTCAGCATTTTCGTAAACATGTGCCATTTTTTATTTCGTTTGAGCCACGCAACAAACACCACTATTCACTCACGCGTTACCGACTGACACATTGACTAAATACAACTGAATAAAATTGTATATTGTGGTAAAAACATCGTTTCAAATTCTTTCGCTTTTTTGTTTCCGATGAGATGAACGGATAAGGCGGATTATATCCGTTGTTGCCAAACACGAGCACATAATATTATTATTGAGACAGGGCGGCACTCAAACTTCTAAAGGGCTATAACTTTGTTACTTTAATTTTACCAGAAAAATGTTAAAGGAAAAAAACATTTCTTTTGATCAGATCTACTCACTGTTAAAATAAATGACTCAACTTCGAAGTCACCCTGTACATATATGTTTTATATTTATAAATTATATCTATACGCTAATTTGATTTATCTGTATTCATATTTGGAATATGCCATATGTGGTACGAATATGTGTGCGTCCACACTAACATGATTTGTTATTAGCTTTTGTAGTGCTACAGGACAAATAAATTATTATTATTATTATTATTACTATCACCGTTAGTCGTTTTTTGCAGTCAGCAACTCTAAAGCGTTCAGACTTGATTCCTTCTTAACACATTGACCGCTTTGTCAGTCAATGGAGAGAGACACTGATCTGTAATGGTGCCGTTTCGGTCATCAGTGACTGACACTACATACTTACAGTCTGAAACTAAATTAGGTTTCCCTGACGCTGAATGCATCGAAAGAAATGAAATAATAATCTCCCTACATACAAAATGGTATCAAGTGGGTTACTTGCCCTTACGAAAGCATCGACCATCTGGCAACGTCTGCCATGCCATGCTGGCCAGTTCGAGCAGTGTGAGCATTCTAGGCGATCAAGTAGATTAAATGTTATTCAAGTAGTATCCGCGCTTGTGCAAGAGGCGCCTATCTATTGATATAATAGCCCATAGTTACTAATTCTACAATTTTTTAGCAGATCTTAATATTTTCTAGGAAGATGTAGATGTTTAGGAAGCAATCCATAGATTTTCTATGTAACTAAATCTTGCTAAAGAGATGTAAGAATTTCAAAGGAGCTCCACAAAACCTGAGCGGAGGAAATCTTTTTACAGACTCTTGACCTATGTGTATGTTAATATGTGTGGGACAAATTTTGGAACCAAATTTTTAATCAGTTAACCTTGAGCAATAGAGGTGAAATTTTGTACACACGTCTAGCTTACGTGACAATACAAAATGAATTACCTGCCGTCATTTTGAATCCAATATGGGGATTTTACACCATGGAGATTCATCACTTTCAAGGTAACCCCTATGACATGGTATCAAATCCAATATGACGACCGCCACAACATGGCGTTTATAATTATCATAGTCACTCCTATGATGTACGTATCAAATTAAAGGGCTTCTGAGAGAAACATAATAAGCACCGCTATGTCATTCTGAATCCAATATGGCGGTCATCGCAAAAAGGCGATTTATAATTTCCACAGTCACCCCTATGCTATAAGTATAAAATGAAAGGGTTTGGTGAAGGAACAAAATAAGCAAAGTGACGTCATTTTAGATCCAATATCATTGCCACCGCTTCATTGGCCATCGCTATGATATGGGTATCAAATGAAAGGGTATTATGAGAGAATCACGATAAGCAAATAGTTCATATGGCGTTCGCCGCAAAATATCGATTTATCATTATATGATTATACCCAACGAAATTCTATAATGCAAATAAAGTAAGAAAGCTTTATGGAGCCCTACTGATAAAACATTTGGAAATTATATACAAATACCTAAACAAAATAAGAAAATACCAGCCTCAGGGACCGGACTATCAATACAGGGTGTTCCTTAATGATATGCGAATATTTAAGGGTGTGAATCTACATGAAAAATTAATGTTACTTTGTTTTATAAACTATGGTCCAAAAATATTCCTTACAAAATTCGGGGTGTTGAAGTTTTAGGAAAAGAATGGAAATTAATTAATATTTTCAGAACCGCTTCAGATATTTCACTGATATTTAGTACGTAATGGAAGTTAACAAAGTTGCATATTTTTCAAAGCAAAAATAATTTTTAGCTTTCACAGTAGCGTGCAGGTATTGACTTCGATATTCTTTAAGAAAAAAATAGTACGCCAACGGTTTTTTGTCAAATAAAAATTATTTTTGAATTTACCGTTCAATTTGAAACAAATAATCTCTCCTTAATTGTCTTCCTTAGATGCGCCATTTTTGAGTAAAAAAAATAAAAACCGTTCTATTGTCTAACTTGCAAAATTATTATTAATTTAATTGGAAAAATTAAACACATTAGGGGTAGTGAACAACAAGAACTGACAACATAAACATAACATTAAAACCAGCGAAATGATTACAAAAATTGTTGAAAATGGCCCCCTTCACTTAGTATGCATGCTTCCGCCCTCCTTCTCATGGAATTGCGTACTCGTTGAAATATCCCTGGAGTGTTTTTTATTCTATCACAAGCTGCAACTATTCTGTCTCTTAATTCCTCTACAGTGTTAATGGGACTTGTGTACACTAGTGACTTTCAATTAGCCCCACAAAAAGAAATCTAATCTGTTGAGGTCTGGGGACCTTGGTGGCCATTCTTGGGGCCCACCACGGCCGATCCAACGATTTAGATAAGCAGTTTGTAAATAATTACAAACCGCTACACTGAAATGCGCTGGTGCACCATCATGCAAGTACCACATATTGTTTCTAATTACTAACGGAAAATCATCAAGCAGCAAAGGCAACTGTTGTTGAAGAAAATTGAGGTAAGTCTGTCCGTCAAGTCGTCCCGGCAAGAAGAATGGGCCAATAAAGTGGTTGCCAATAATTCCTACCCATACGTTGACCGAAAATTGGTGTTGGGAATGGGTTTCGGTTACGGCATAGGGATTTTCTTCTGCCCACAAATGATTATTGTGGAAATGCTGAATGGCATTTCGAGAAAAATTAGCTTCGTCCGTGAACAGAATCATTGATTCAAATTGCGGATTTTGTGTAAATTTTTTGAAGATACCACCGACAAAAGGTCACACGCCTTGGAAAATCAATGGAAAGTAATGCCTGTACTCTTAAAGTATGGCAAGGATATAACAAAAAAGCCACTAAAATTGTCCAAACAATTTGATGGCAAAATATTTAAGTGTCTAGCGATCTTCATCGTACGTTTCAGGATGTTCTTCGACTTCGTGCGGCACTGCTTCCTCAGTTTCAGGTGTTCTCACATTGAATAGTTCATCTTTATTAACAAGACTGTAAAAACTAAATAATGAAAAAGATGTCACAGCAAACAGATTTAAATAACAGAGACTTGTCAGATGTCAAAAGTCAATGACATATTCCAGATCAACTAGATATTTATTGCTAAATTGCATTCTTCAATTATTCATTAATTTTCTCGGACAATAGCACGGTTTTTATTTTTTTACTCAAAATGGCGCATCGAAGGAAAACAATTCAAGATAAATCGTTAATTTTAAATTGAATGGGGAATTAAAAAAAATTATTTGGCAAAAAAACCATTGGCGTACCATTTTTTTCTTAAAAACTATCAAATTCAATACCCGTACACACACCACTGCTAAAGCTAAAAATTATTATTGCATTGAAAAATATGCAACTTTATTAACTTTAACTACGTACTAAATATCAGTGAAATATCTGAAGCGGTTCTGAAAATATTAGTTAATTTCTATTTTTTTCCTAAATCTTCAACAATTCGAGTTTTTTTAAGGAAACATTTTAGGACTATTGTTTATAAGCCAAACTAACTTTAATTTTTCATGTAGATTCACACCCTTTAATATTCACATATCATTAAGGAACACCCATATTGTTTCTCAAATGGCAACAAAATTGAATAACATCACGTCAACCAGCGATTCAATTTCCGTGGTGTTTGCACCGACCGCATTTATCTGATCGGATTAAATACTACAATGTATTTTAAAAGCTGAATTTTACATTCAGCAGTTATGTTACCGACATTTGTTTGATTCGTTAAGCATGTTCGGCGTGCGAGTATTTTGGAAAATATCACGTAGATGCAATTCGGTTTCGTTGAAATAATGCTTACGCTTTTACAATCAATACGTTATTTTGAGCGCGATGCGTAGGTACACAGTAGGAGCAGCTGGAGAAAGTTTCTGCTTTGCATGCAATGGCTTTGCCTAAAATATCACTAATTTTCAAATATTTAATCATAATTGTTGGATAGTATTATTTCATATATTCAAGATTAGGCAGTGTTTCAAAATGAAACTCAAGTTTGGGATCTGGATCTATTAGATAGCTTCTTTAACATATAAATAAATGCGTATATAGCGTGATTTAGAAACAGTGGCAAAAATAACACGTGAAATGACATATAAAATCTAAAAAACTTCTTTACACAGATGGAGTTGAAACAATGCCGCGTGGAAACTGCATCTTTGTATTCCTACAGAAGAAAAAAACATTTTTGTCCAAGTTGGTGATTTTCTGCGTGCTCGAGAATACAAAGTATTGGCCCGGATGGGCGGCACTCCAATAACTTTACCTATACAGTACTTTACAAAAAGCCTCACTACTTATTTTTTGTACTTCACAAGTTGGCGAGCTGAAATTCAAGGTCATGGAACTGATGCATAAACAATATATTTTGGCGTAAAAGTGACAGACGAAATTGAAAGATGCGGTAGGTCGTCATCTCGGAACATTCTTCTAAATGGAATAGGGGCCATGCAGTATGTCATTTTAAAGTTACTCATGTGTATTTTGAAATATAAGAATATAAAATCAGTATCTTTAAAAATCGCAGACTGGCACCTTGTTGCCGTTGATAGTTTTTGTACACTGAAAGGCTTATGATTCAACAACCAATCAGCGAAACGCTATAGTAAGTTATACAGGGTGTCGA